ATGTCATATGAGCATTTTCACTGTCATCCAAATCAGATGCATAAACATTAAGTATTGAGATTCCAGCTGGAGCATGTTCTGGAATGTACGATATATATATTAGTTTACTAAAGACAGGTGGGTTGTCATTCACATCTAAAATTGTTACATATAATGTTTTCACAGTTAACATTGGAGGTGTTCCTTCATCTTCAGCTCTAACTGTAATGTTATAGAATGGGTTTTCTTCTCTGTCCAGAGGACATGCAGTTATAAGTTTGTAATAATTATTAGATGATGCCATCAGCTTGAATGCAAGGGTATCTCTTATTTGGCATATCACCTCCCCATTTTTTCCAGCATCTAAGTCTTTGACATTAATTAATGCCACAAGTGTTCCAGGTGGAGAATCCTCTGGAACCGGTGTATATAGGGATGCAAGAGTTATCTCAGGTGCATTGTCATTAATGTCCACAATCTGTATGACTACAGTACATTGTGCAGCTAAACCTCCACCATCTTTGGCTTCAACGGTGACCTCATAGCTTCTTGCTGACTCGTAATCCAATTCCTGAATAGTTTTAATGACTCCAGTTTTGGAATCTAAAGAAAATACCTGGCGTGCATTTTCACGAATGTGACTAAATGAGTATGTGATATGCGCATTTGAACCCTCATCTTTATCGGTAGCATTTAAATGAATGACGAGCGATCCAGGTGGAGAATTTTCAGTTAAGTTGATTCGATATATTTTTTGACTGAAAATAGGATAATTGTCATTTACATCTTGTACCTCAATCTGTATAATAGCAGTTCCAGTTTTTACAGGATTTCCTCCATCAGAAGCTGTTAAAATTAAACTATATCTTTGCTGTTTTTCACGATCTAGCTGCTGCTTTAAAAATAAGTTCTAGGTATTTATTCTCTTCGCTGAGTAGTTTTTCAGCTAATTCAAAATCTGAATTTGGACTAAGCTCATAGCTCTGCAAAGAATTGGAGCCTGAATCCTGGTCAAGAGCATTTCCTAGAACAAAACGGGCTCCTGGGGAAGTGGACTCACTTATTCCAATGTAAAAAAAATGTCCTTTGAGAAACTTGGAGAATTGTCATTTACATCTTGAACCTCAATCCTAACAGGATAAACATTTACTGGATTTTCTGCCAGAATCTCAAGGTCCAGAAAGCAATGCATCTCTGATCCACATAACTCTTCCCTATCTAGTCTGCTAATGGCATATAAATTACCATTTTCTGAACTGATATTGAAATAATTCATATTTTTATTAGAAACAATCCTTAATTTTTTTATTTTTAGCTCATTGTTATTTAATTAATTTCAAATCTTTTGCAATATTTCCCACTACAGAATTTAGCTTTATCTCTTCTAGAACTGAATAATGAAGGAAATCAGAAGCAGCCACAAAACAGAAGGAAAAATATAAAACTATTACTTGCCGTGTCATGTCCTCTGTAAATGTATAACTTCAAGCCTTGTAATCTGCTTTTCAATGACAATCAAAAAAAAGCTAATATTTGATCAACATTCTGAGCATTAAAATAATCCGAAGAGAGGAGGAATAAATACTGTATGTATCTTCTTTGTTGAGATCTGCACTGTCTTTATAGCATAAGCAGGATAACTTCCTTCAAAGTATTTAACATGTCTGCCTTGTTAGGCAACAGTGACACCATGAGGCCAAATTTGAGAAATGCAAGGATACTATATGTCCAGTATACTGTATATATAAAGATATTTTTCTTAATAATAAACACCCAATCACACGCAATCATAAGCTATAAATTCCGAAAATGATAAAGCACGTCATCTCTAAATGAAAACAAAAATATTTTTAAATAAAATCTTACTACTAATATTCTTATCAGTTAAAAAGATACCCAATATTATTAAGCTCATATGCCCTTCACTTAAGCACAAAACATAAAATAAAAAATTACAAAAGGAGACACTGTGTTTCTTTAGTCAACATTTGCACAATTACCTACAATATATTCATTCTAGATTTCAATTGTTGAATTTGTTTCCTATGTACCCATTGTGCCTGCATGGGGATACCAAATTAATGAAACATATCAATGATACTAATAACATTTATCATTAATGAAAAATACTGTATATCATCATTATTTTTTTTTTTTTTTGATGAGGGGCAAATGAAATAAGAAAGGTCCATGCAGACATTGAACTTAAGTATATTAACCTCCTCGGCGGTATGATTCTTTCCGATTTTTTGTGCTGAAAGCGGTACCATTTTTTTGCATGGAAATATGTAGTTTTTTATTGTAGACTGTAATCTTTAGGAATAACTCACTGAAATCTGTACGAACAAGAGTCTAGTAAACATTTCAGATATGATAAAACTTGAAACACGAAATCATAAATTATAATTTAATAAATAATCATAAAAAATAATAATATAATAATAATAAATTTAATTCAATAATATAAACAAACCAAAAACACTGAAATTTGAAATACAGAGGCAAACTCGCACATCGCTGAGCAAAGCCGCAGAATCGTTTTCAGTGTCTGATGACGAATTTCCCCACAAAATCATTATCACTCAATTCTGCAAGTGGTTCTGATTTACTATCGCTGTTTTCTAGCTGGTCTAAAACTGCTTTTGACGTAAAGAGACGCTTTTTGGACGCCATGGACTTTTCTAAGTTTCCAGGCAGAAAGAACAAATGCAGGCAGGGCACAGGACAAAGCACTAGGGACAAAATATATGTGAAATGCATTGAAACAGCAATGACAACAAAAATGAAAATTTTTAAACATTTCAAATTTGCCGCCGGTTCAGGCGCCCATACGTCCCGACGTCACAGGGACCAGAACACGGAAGACAGATGCCGGCATCAGCCGGAGGAGATGGCCGGGGACGCTGCAGGGGACACATCGCGGGAGCGAAGGACAAGGTAAGTGCTGCAGGGGACTCCCTGAGCAACGCCGCATGGTAAGCCCAAGTGTAGCTCGGGGTTACCGCTTTTGGTACTCAAATTTTACCCTGAGCTACACTCGGGAAAACCGCTAAGGAGGTTTAAAGCCCTCTAAATGCAAATAATATAAAATTAAGTTGCAGAAATACTATAAACCTTTATTGGGGGGGGAATTTACTAAAACTAGAGAGTGCAAAATCTGGTGCTGCTCTGCAGAGAAGCCAATCAGCTTCCAGGTTTTTATTGTCAAAGCTTAATTGAACAAGCTAAAGTTAGAAGCTGATTGGCTACCATGCACAGCGGCACGGGACTCCGGATGCTCCAGTTTTAGTAAATCTTCCCCATTGTGTTTGTGGAACATTTAATATTTTACCCAAAGGCTAAAATTCAAATATGCTCAAGTTACAATTTCAAAATGTAAAATGTCTGCTTCAAATATTTAAGAGGAAATAAGAACTTTTTTTGGTTTAATTCAGAAGATCATTTATTTTTGTATATATATGTTTTTTTATAACAACAAGCTTTTTACAGCAAGTCCCCATCTCAAATTAGTATTATGAGGTTTATCAGTTCTCTGGAAGATACATTATATAGTTGAGCGCTAGAAAATGACAAAAGCCACGCCTATCCAAAAATATATTGAAAATAAATACTAAAATAAAGACTAATTTTCTAAGACCTTCATAAAAAGTAGGTTAATTGCATGGATATTAAATGTAGCAATCCTTTAATATTTGCACCTGGTAGATACAATGGTAAAATTAAACATTTGTGGGTCCTTTATTTTTGAACTCAGTAAATTGGGTACATTCAACTAGTACAGTATCCATTAAACTTGACCACCATATTTGGTATAATAAGGTAGTTCAGAGTTTTTAAATTTCTAAATGATTGTTATGATTGTTATGACAAATCTTTAATTCAGGCAGCATAAATGACAGTTTGATTAAACTTGTATTTTAGCAGTAGTGATGGGCCAAATACCCCCTTGTTCAGTTCATGGTCGAAGATTCGAACGAAAATTATACAGCGAGCTTCGAACAGGGACAATTCACTAAGTAGTATTGTACCACATCCAAGTATGAGGTAAGGTACCGCACAGTTCCTAAAATATTGCATGAGTTATATTATTAAGTCATGCAATATTTTAGTAGTGAAAGCATTCTTTAATGTTTCAGCTGTCAGCGGGGTTCTCACAGCTGAATGTAAAAAGAATTGCCAGTATTGCCCAGCTATTAAAACATTTTTTTAGATGGCGTGGGGTCCCCCATTCATCCATACCAAGCCCTTTGGGTCTGGTATGGATTTTGAGGGGAAATTTTTTTAAAAATGGTGTTTGGGGTCCCCCTCAAAATCCATACCAGACTGTTATCCAAGCATGCCCCCAGATCCCGCCCCCCCCCAGGTGAATGAGTATGGGGTACATGGTACCGCTACATATTCACCAAAAAAAAAAAACAAGTGTAGTGTAAAAAATGACAGTAGACAGTCTTTGACAAGTCCTTTTTTTAAAAACAAAAAATTAGCAACATGTCCTCCAAAGTAGATCCAATGTCAATCAAGATGCCCCCCACCACCGCCGAAAAAAGAAAAAAAATTGCTCCTCTCTTGACACTGGCTCTTGCCGTCTGACAGCTGCGTCAGGATGACAATTTTTAAATATTGTGATGTCACAAGGGTTCGGGGTCACCCCCACCCCCCTGTGACATCATCACGTGCTGTGATTGGCCAAAGCATTGAACCTCCCTTGTGGTCAGGCGCATTGCTTTGGCCAATCACAATGCACTGTCAGGGCACATTGCATTGTGGGGCATGGCAGGCTAACAGCCCGCTGAACGTCCTTACCTCTTTGTGTGTTCGGCGAACACACGCACGGCCGATGTTTGAGTCGAACTTATGTTCAATTCAAATATTAAACCAACTGTATTTAGCAGCAGGCGAAGAGTAACAAATTAAAGAGTTTCACAATAAAATAGTACATGGATGTTTAAAGATACTATTCAATTATAGGGATGCTCCAATGCAAAAGTATGTGAATAATAAAATTCGAAATGTTAGCTTACCTGTGCAACATTATCAAAATGTGAGTCATCTGTGTCAATGAGATTGTCTGTGGGGACATTCTGGAGAGGTTTGAGGTAAGCAATTTCATTCTGCTTTGAGTCAAGAGTCACACACACATCATAGGAGAATGGAAAGGGTAGACTTGTATCGCTGATCTCAGAAGGACATCCCAGGGTGAACTGAGGATACACATTTCTTCCAAAAGTTCCAAGGGAAGTGGGGGAGCTATTTTTTCTGCACTTAAAAGCTACTACAGCCAATACTATCACAATGAATAAAATTGATATAAAAGTTATAGCGATAACAAGGTAGAATGTTACATTAGATGTAGCGTCTGAATTAGCTGGCTTTCGCTTTATCTCTGGTACAACTTGTTGAAAATTTTTGGCCACAAGTAAATTCAAAGTGGCAGTAGCTGATAAAGAGGGGACTCCATTATCCTTCACCAGAACCACAATCTTTTGTCTTAAAGAATCAATATCCTGAAGGTCCTTCCCTATCTTAATTTCCCCAGTATGCAGACCAATGGTAAATAATGATGGTTCAGGAACATGTAGTAAATGGTAAGAGAGCCAGGCATTGTGTCCAGAGTCAGCATCCACAGCAATCACTTTGGTCACTAAATAACCTTTTTCAGCAGTATGAGGAATAAATTCAAATAATGCTGATTCATCAGTATCTGGTGATGGGTAGAGAATTTTAGGAATATTATCATTCTTATCTATTATACAAATCTTTACTGTAACATTACTGCTTAGAGAAGGAGTTCCATTGTCCTTAGCCATCACTTGAAACTGGAATTCTCGTAACTGCTCATAGTCAAATGATCTCTGGGCATAAATAACTCCAGTCATTGAGTTTATGGAAACATATGAAGATACTGGAATGTTATCAATATTTGTCTTAATGATAGAATAAATGACCCGTGCATTCTCATTATAATCTAGATCTGAAGCATGAACACTAACAACTGAAGTTCCAGCAGGGGTGTGTTCTGGAATGTAGGAAATATACACTGGTTTATTGAAGACTGGCATGTTATCATTCACATCTAAAACATGTAAGTAAATAGTTGACCGGATTGCCATTGGAGGAGAACCTTCATCTTCAGCTAAAAGTGTTATATTATAAGTTGAATTTTTCTCTCTGTCCAAGTAATCTGTAGTGACAAGTTTGTAATAACTATTAGATGACTGTATTAACTTTAGAGGAAAAGTTTCTGTTAGAAGACAAGTGACCTCACCATTTTTTCCTGAGTCCAAATCTTTAACATTAATTAACGCCACCAGTGTCCCCGGAAAAGAATCCTCTGGAATTGGTGTAGATAGTGATGCTATCACAATTTCAGGTGCGTTGTCGTTGACATCCACGATCCGCATTACTATATTACATTTTGCAATTAAGCCACCGCCATCCTTGGCTTCCACACTCATTTTATAGTTTGGTGTGCTTTCATAATCTAAATCTGCTTTTGTTTGTATGACTCCAGTTTGAGAATCCAAAGTGAAAATCTGACGTGCATTTTCAGGAATGTGACTAAAAGAATAAGTGATATCTGCATTGGAACCAACATCTTCATCACTGGCATTTAGATGAAAAACTACAGAACCAATTGGTGTATCTTCTTGTAAACTGATTCGGTAAGTGTCCTGGCTGAATACTGGATAGTTATCATTCACATCCTGTACCTCAATTTTAATAACAGCAGTTCCAGTTTTCATAGGTTTCCCCCCATCAGACGCTGTTAAGATTAAAGTAAACTTGTCATGTTTTTCACGATCTAAAGGTTGTTCCAGAATGAGTTCTGGATGCTTTGTCCCTTCGCTGTCAATTTTTTCTCCCAAGGTAAAGTGTGGATTTGGGTTAAGGGTATAACTCTGTAATGAATTGACGCCTAGATCTGGATCAATTGCATTTCCTAGAACAAAACGTGCTCCTGCAGAAGCTGATTCACTAATTCCTATCTCAAAAATATCCTTAGAAAATGCTGGGGCATTGTCATTTATATCTAGAACTTCCACGGTAACTGGAAATACATTCACCGGATTTTCAATAATAATCTCAAGATCCAGTAAACAGACTTGCTCTGATCCACAAATTTCTTCCCTATCTATTCTATCAATAACATATATATTGCCATCTAAACTAGCATTGAAAAAGTTGTGCTTTTTGTTATGAGAGACAATCCTTAGCTTTCTCACCTCCAGATCTTGAGTATCAAGGCCCAGATCCTTTGCAATGTTGCCTAATACAGAATTGTGTCTTATTTCTTCCAACACAGAATAGTGCAGTTGACTAGCAAAAACCAATGAAGGAAATGTAAATAAGAAAATTATTACTTGCCCAACCATGGTGGCAGTGTTTTCAAAGAGTCTTCCTTCCTCTACCATCCACAATTTGTAATATTAGCAATTAAGCATTTGGTCTTAAAAAATCCCAACATCAGAGAGATTTTCAACTCCCTTTCTCATGACAAATTGCAGTGATTGTTCTAAGCTCCTCTGCTTTTACTCCCTATACAAATTTCAGATCTCTACAGTAGTGCAACAGTGACACCTTGAGGCTTATCTTATTAACTGTAGCAAGAATATTTCATGATGGTCAAATTAAAAAATATTTCTTGACAGTTAATAAAAACAATAACACCTAATGAATTATCAAAGCAGAACTTGCATATTTTACAATTTAGAATTCTTATGTACAAAAATTATAAATTGGTTTTCTTCAATCTTTCTTAAAATGTTACTGAAGCTTTTACTTTAAAGTAAAACGTTTACTTTACAGTAATACATTAAATTTTTTTTTTTATAAATGTGTAATCAGTTATACAGTTATACGGAAACCCACAGCATTGTGTATATGTCTTAATGTAAATTAAATGTTTACAGTTATGGCAACCATTATCTGGGTATTTATCTGATTTTTTTTTTTATGGAACACTTCAAGAATTTGCTTGTCATCCTTGCACAGAGGCCATGCTAATCTTCTCTTTATCGTTTCAATTTTAGTATGTGATCTGCCAAAGCAAGCACAATTTATTTATCTGATTCTGAAAACCAAAAAGTAGAAACAAAATTATTTATCCTAAAAATATCAGAGGTGATTATCAGATGCTTCCTATAACAATTATTGCATAGAAAGATACTTAAGCACTCCAAAGCAGCTTTAAAGATCTAAATCATAGAATAAAGGAAATAACTCTCAGTTTGGGAACAGAAAACCAAGGCCTTATTTTTCAATACCTGTATTTGAACCAATTTACAATTTTCATTTAAATTTACTACTGCTTCACAACCCAATTAAAGGATAAATTCTCCTTTGGTAACATGTTACATCCCTATTTAGGGTGTAATGTAACATGTTACCAAAGAGCACCTGCCCGCACTCCCCTGATCCTTCACTCTGACAGCGGGTAGGGAATCCTCTCCCCACACCTGCTCCACCCACTTGGCTGTATCATTCATTCACAGTTTCCTGTGAACAGGGGCGGACTGACAACTCATGGGGCCCCCGGGCAATAGGGGATCAAGAGGCCCTTGTGTCCTTGCCCACACTCAAAGCACACCCAAAAAAGCAGTGCCCGAGTGCTCGACTGGTCAGTCCGCCCCTGCCTGTGAATGAACTAACTACAAGTAATGTCTTCCATTGCGGCAGAAGGTTTGTAGTTCCCAATGAACTGCAAGGGTGATGATCAGCATTCCCGTAGTTCATGATTTTTTTTCCTTCAGTTCAGTAACTATCTGCCTATGTGGGAGGTACAGGCAGGCAATTGACTGAGAATCTGCAGGATCCTGGCATTGCACCCACGATCTGCAGATGTGCAGTTATATATATATTTTTAAAGGTGAAATTATCCTTTAAGTAACTCAGATTATTCTGACATATGGTTTTCCCTTTGTCAGCTGACAAAGAACATTAAATAAGTATTATAACAAATAGTTAAAACAAAATGTTGTGCTCATCTATGTGACTTACACCTTATATTAGCAAAAATTGTATATATATATATATATATATATATATATATATATATATAGACATATAGATAGATAGATAGATAGATAGATAGATAGATAGATAGACATATATGTGTGTATACATTAAAAAATACATACCTACATTATTGTCAAGTAAGAAAAAGTACTGTGGTCTTAATGCACGTCATCTCTTCATCACAAAACCGAATTCCAAAGAGATTACTTAAGAATAATGTACAGAAGTTCAATAGTTGAAACAGTTGAAAGAATTTACATTTTAAAAGTATCTGCAAACAATGCACCAAAAGGTGCTTTTATTTGAAAATGTTATGGAAAAAATTGTACTTGAAAAACACCATATAAATTTTACATTTTTATCTATATGTGAAGGTTGTCAGCTTCAATTGAAACTATACCCATTTTGGGTCATTTTACACAAAACATTTTTGGCATTCTAATGAGATTTTTAGGGATTTTTCAATACTTATAAAAAATTGATAGCTTTGTTATTAGGTTTTCTAATAAAAAAAATAATAACCACCTGCCTGGAGTTTGCATGTTCTCCCTGTGACTGCGTGGGTTTCCTCCGGGTACTCCGGTTTCCTCCCATACTCCAAAGGCATGCTGGTAGGTTAATTGGCTCCTGTCTAAATTGGCCCTAGTATGTATATGTATGACTGTGAGTTAGGGACTTTAGATTGTACGCTCCTTGGGGGTTAGGGACTGATGTGAATGTACAATATATGTATGTAAAGAGCTGCGTAAACTGACGGCGCTATACAAGTACCTGTAATAAATAAATAAATAATAATGATTTAATGACTGCCTCTAACTGAATTTCACAGGAGGCCATCTGACCTGAAGAGGGAAAGGTGTAATTCTCCTCTCATCTAGCTGTGTGTGTATTCTGAACACTGTGTATAGCATAGTAGTAACATGACTGACAGCAAGGTAACAGAGAACTCCTAGTTCAAAATTCAGCTTTTTTTTCTTGGCTCCTTCTCTTTCATCCATTTTTAAATAAATGGAGAAATTGTGAAGCAAACCTGAACTCTAGACAAGGTCTTCTCCCTCTCTACAACACTGCAAACTTAATAAAAAAGCTAATTTCGAACATAAGAAAGAAGATGGTATAGAGCTGCATTTTGCCCAGATCTGTGTGAATTATGGCAATGTTTGGATAGTTCGAATGCATAAGATCATATACCCTAAGGGTGCTACATATACACCTGCCCCATTTGTTGTGCGGTAATATCCATACAAATGCAAACCTGTGTACACAAATAAAATAAAGTGAAATAAATTAAACTAACTGTAAAACAAACAGTACTCTTCATTACAAAGGTGCAAGCTCTACAATGCACCTCCACCATACACCATATCTATGACTAGTTACCACATTGTGCTAAATAAAACATACCAGTAAGATATATTTTCCATCAGTTAGATATCTCTAAAACTACAGTAAACAAATATAAATGAAACACCAAGGTGAATGTTTTCTTCATTTG